GAAAGATGATAGATTTGTATTGTTTTCTGGTTGATTCTTCGGAGGGAGAAGGTGCCCGGCGCCGGCTTGGCTAGGAGATTGCGGGTGTTAGTGGGCTCCTGGTGTGCCCTGAGGGCGTAGTGGGCCGCTGGCTCTTGCTCTGCCGGAGTTCACCGGAACTTTTCCCCATTTGGGCACGAGTTTAGGCGGGGCCATGGCGTTTCTGCCGCGTCTTCGACTACCCATTGTTTTCTGTGTGGGGCGGAGGACGGCACCTTCCTTCCTCAAGAGCTACCAGAACATCCGCCTGCCTGTGTGTCATCCGTCGCAAGGCGTGTTCGCTTCTGCCAACACAAGACGCAAAGCTTTGTGTTTTACTCCTTAGGGAACGCTGGGAGAACATCCGGCATCACTGCCGTCATGGCCCTAAACTGAACAAGAACAGAGTGGCTCACAAACTTTTATCATATAGGACCCCAGGCGACGACCCCCCCCCCCCCCCCTCCCAACTAAATTATTGAATTTGGACAGACCGGAAAAGTTGTTCTATTTGTTGCTAATGAAACCTAGCCTAATCCACCCTATCAGAGGCCTAATATAGTACACAAGTGTCCCGGTAGCACAGTTGGCTTCGTTCTTGATTCACAATTGGGAATTCCAGGTTCGCGTCCATGCCAGGACAGAAATGGTTGGGCGCATTTCCTATCACCTAATGCCCCGGTTCACCTAGCAGTAAATAGGTACCCGAGAGTTAGTCAGCTTGTTGTGGGGTTGCATCCTGGGGGAGGCTCAGTAATTCGACCCAAGGGGAGCACCTCGGTATAAGCCTAAGATGTATGTTACGTATACACTGGCTGTCTATTTTTTTTATTTAATTTTGACCCGAGGGGCAAGTTTATTGAGCAGCGCAATTCATCCCGTGAGTGGACACACCGCCATAGCAGCATGTACAACACTCCCCAAGTAGGAAGAAAACCCGCTGGGTTGTTCATCCTGTCACTTGTACCCAGACACAACTGGGACTTGCTTAACTGTCGGACCCCCGACACAGTGAATTATAAGTATTATTATATATGTGCTATATATGACCTATATATGACCTAGGAATATTTAAGTTTGGTTTTTAGCAATATTTTTTTCCGACCTCTAAAATGAATGGTACAAAATTCTACTTTCTATTTGGCCATCACCGCATAGTTACAAAAAGGTACTATCATATCAGGATGGGTTGAATTATCTACACTATGTACTTGAACTATTTACCTGTTAGTGCCAACATCAAAACAATTGTTATACAAAGAAAAGGTGCAATCATATTGTTTTCCTTTCATCATGTTGCGGACCCCACCCTATGGGTCCCCGGAGTAGTTTGTGGGTCCCCGGAGTAGTTTGTGGGTCCCCGGAGTAGTTTGTGGGTCCCCGGAGTAGTTTGTGGGTCCCCGGAGTAGTTTGTGGGTCCCCGGAGTAGTTTGTGGAGCCCTGGAGTAGTCGTCTCTGGACTCACCCCCTCCCACGTGATCCTGGTGTTCCTCTCTCTATCCACCCTTCTTTTGATGGTTTAATACCTTCATCCACCCCTTCTTTACGCATCATCCACCCCTCCCCCCCTCTCTACGCAACATTCATCCCTTTATATGCATCCTCCATCTCCCCTTCTCTGTCCTTACGTCTGCTTAAACCAGGCTACCCCTGCTACCTCGTGCTCCCCGACCCCCACCCCTCGTTCTCCCCCATCCCACCCCACGTTGTCCCCCATCCCACCCCACGTTCTCCCCCATCCCACCCCACGTTCTCCCCGACCCCCACCCCTCGTTCTCCCCCATCCCACCCCACGTTCTCAAGGCTGAGGGGCGTAGAGATTGGCGTGTTATTGGTCCAGTGAACTTCATTCTGCAGCCGTCTCATAAAATTCTGTTCTGTGGCTGAGACTCTCAACCCGTCCTCCTAAAAAGAACGTCACTTTTGGCTCGTATGCGCGATATGGCCAAATTTGGACGTAATTTGAAATGAAATCGACTCACAAAAGTGACGTTCTGTTCCGTTTTCTATTTGAGTCGTCCCGCCTACGCGCAGACGTTATGAGAGGACACTTTACATTAACGTTTTTCATAACGTTTTGAAACTTTATAAGAATTTCCTGCCCACCTAACCTATCAGAGGACCCTTAACTTACTGTTGGTGAAAAAAAATATCCCACATTTATTTTAATTTTTTTTTCAATTTCAAATTACGTCCAAATTCGGCCATACGGGCAAACGGCCAAAAGCGACGTTCTTTTTAAGAGGACAGGTTGGAGAGAGGAAGGAGAGGGTGGGAGGGGAGACTAAAGGATACGTAGTTACCTAATAGTGACTACGGGCATGTGAGGTCTAGCTCTTTGTGCCTCGCCTGCTGCACTTGTTCCACCTGGTGTTTTGATTTTTCCTGACCTTCAAGTATTTTGGGTGAATTGAACGGGAAAAATGTGCCTTAGGGAGAAAGGATGTAAATTTGGGAAGAGAATTTAATTAACCAGGGCGTATCTGCTTTATCGGCCGGCGCTTCGTGGGGCCTCAGTAGCCTAACTGAGCCGCCTCCCGTGTTTCGTTAGTTCACTTTCACACATAGGCCTACTGCACCAGGAGGGCAGTTGGCCGCATTTTATTCTTTTTTTTTCACAATTTTCGATGTTGAGCTCTTGGACGACTACAAGTTCGTTGGAGAAATAAGACATTAATGTAGTGAATATTAAGTATTAATTTTTACTTGAACTTGTGGCTCCACAGTGGAAACATTAGCACAGCTTGACCAATGAAACTGGAGATACAGCCCAAGACAGCCAATAAGATAACAAGGGATAGAAAGTGACCAATCAGGATCTAGAGTGGCTTCTTTCTGCGCCAATCAAGACGCAGGGTGGCATGTGTACCTGAGTAGAAGCAAGTTGTCAGAAGGCTACGCTATTTACCACAATGTTTGGTGGGCATTGGTTTGTGTGGTGGGCGAGTGGTGGCGGCGGAGGTGGTGGTGATGGGGAAGCCCCGTCACTCGGGTGCTGACAACGAGCCCAGCCATCGGGCCCCGTGCATAGCTGGACTTGGTACCCCGCGCCCAAACGCTTGGCCGACATAGACTGCCAGAAACCCGCCCCGCGACACAGCCAATTCCCTCGCCGCTACCCGTCATGTATTCCCAGTAACTCCTCTACTAGGATATTTTGGCCAACTAAATCACTCCGCTCATATATTCGTGAAACGTGTTCGCAGATTGTTGAACTGTGCACAAAGGGAACTCATTACATTGCAATTAAACCTTGAAACTGCTGAATCGGAAAACTTTAGCGAGACTCGGCAGAGGACAGATGAAAATTGTCTAAGAGCAGCTACTGTGAGAATACAGCATGCACACCTTTTTATACCCGGGATACCCTGGCTATCGTAAGTAATACTGCCACAGTAGACAGAGTTACTCTCAGAGTGACTCTGTTATCCTCTCGAGTGACACCCGTCACGGCCAGGTGCCTTATATAACGCCTCTTCCTTATACTTCCCAAGGATCCTTAAGCCGTGTCTTCCTTACACTAGACAAGGAGCCTTATCCCGCCTCTTCCTTACACTTAATAAGGATTCGTTTATTCTTACACTGCTGCTGATCTCTTACCATACATTTCCTGCCTCACAGAACTCACCAGCACATTTGCTGGTTGTTCTGCTTGAGGCTAGTCATAGCTAGTACAAGCATAGCCACCACCAAACTGGTGTCCGGCCATCCCAAAGCAGTATTACTACTAGTACCAAACTGGTGTCGAGCTTTCCCAAAGCGGTATTACTACTGATAACAAACTGGTGTTGGCCTATCCCAAAGCGGTATTACAGGTATCGTTAGTGTCAGTGGACCAACGAATGCCTATACCTTCCTACAAAATGGCTCATTATAGGTTAACACCTTTCAACTTCAACCAAGAACTAGTTTTGGTAATTGCCTTACGCTCTTTGACCCAACCTAATATTACCTGCTAATAGTTGGCATGTAGCTCATTGAATTGGCTAATATTCTCAGGTACACCGCTAGTCTTAAAAAATAAACGTTTCCCATTACATTAAACCTTAGCAGTGAATCCAACACATATTTTAATCAAGCCTAATTTGATAAAGAGTCGACTGTACCTGAAAGAGTCTTAACTAGCTGCGACATTCAAGATGATTGATTCTTTTCAAACTATCCCATGGAAGCTAAAGCGTAGCGCATGTCTGAAGGGCAGTATTGAGCACGATGCCTAGGGGCGGGTTGTGGCGTCGCGGGCGTGCACGCCTGGCGCGTAAAACCACTCAGGTTATACGGGCTCACCATAGCCCGTGCTACTTGGAACTTTGTTCCAGGTAGCAAATTTTTAACCACCACCACCACTCAGGTTAGCACATTAACTCTGTATTTCAGTAGCTTCCATTACACGTTTGTTTTACGTCCTTAGTACGCGCCTGTACCGTGTGCGTTTAACAATGACGTATGTGCAGATTGGTCCAGATTCATGTTGATAATGGGGAGTGTTCAGGTTCATGTAAAAGCAATATATTACAGTATAGTACATTTGAAGCTGGTGTGTTTGTTTAGCATGCAAGGAAGGCTCCCCGGATATTTCTGCAAGATGTTAGGTTACCACACATGCTAAAATATTAACCAAACCCCTCGTGTTCAGTTGTCGTATGATACAGGTTATATAAGTTTCAATAGGCCTTAAGATATGAGGATGGACAATAAAAAAATGAGGACTTAGTCTTCATGAATGAGAAGTTGGTGTTTTTAGGGGAAGTAGGACAAGATTCCCTCATTAAGACTCAATGTTTACATTCGGTATTATGTATAATTTAGTATCTTGCGAGTACAATTCATAAATACTCAGTTGTTTTCTACCTTGTCATTTTGGAAGGTGGGGGGGGGAGCAAAACCTATGTGTAAAGTGTATGCATGTGTGTACCAATGAAAGTATTATGTATAATACATAATGCATTTTTGCGTGAGAATAACGAAATGCAATATTGCAGAAATGCTGGCGGGTCGAGGGCTGCCAACTGTACCCGAGGAGGACTTTCTTCCTGAAGTTGGCGAGACGCCCGAACTGCCACCGAACTCTCCGCTCAACGCCTCCCCGCTCCAGTACACTGCCAGGGTCACCACTGCTTTCCTCGAGTCCACTTCTCCCACCAACTCACCATCACACAAGCCCCCCACCCACCAACACTCTCCAGTCTACAGGAGCACCCAAATACCTATCCAACAAGAGCAGCAGCAGCCCGATCAGGCGCAGCTGGTAGCCCTGCCCGCTCAGTCTCCCCCAATATCCTACCAAACATCCCTGGCGAGGTCTCCTCTCCTCACCTCTCAACCCCAGCAGACGATACAGCCCCAGCAGCCTTCCTCGTCCCAGCTGCAACACCAGCAGCCTCACACTCCGCCCCAACAATCTCATACACCTCCCCAGCAGCAGCAGCAGCTGCAGCAACAGTCACCCGGTTCTCCTCGCCTGCAGCAGCAACAACAACAGGCTCCACGCTCTTTCATCCGAAGGCACAGTCAGCATGACCTTAGCACACAGCATCAGGCAGTTTCACACCATGACAACCCCTTCGCCATCCCTAAGGTAGGTATCATGTATATACCAACAACTAGATAACATACATCATATTCACACCTGCTGTATAATGTCATACAACAGTGATGCACACATGCTTATACAGACACGCCGTCTGTATGTATCAATACGTGCTACGGCATCACCATGTGTACTCACCTGTACTAGGTGACTACACGCGCTGATGCCGTAGCACGTATTGATACACGCCACATACAATAATACAACAATGCTCTGTTAAACCTGCACTATCTTACGATTTAGCCTGAACACACTTGCTAAGGTGCACAACCTGTCGGAGTGCCAGCACTCACACCTGGCACACTGGTCCTATGAAAATGCCCTTTTTATTATCACTGGTGAGCCGACCTCCATCGCCTGCCACGGTCCGCACCCACAAGCAGACCGACTAACGGCCTCAACTTGACTGGTCTGCCCTGAAAGTGGCTATAAAGGAGGGGTAGAAGCGGCTGCTTCACCGCCAGGAACCTGGAGAGGCCACAGCGGGTGCCAGCGGGCCTGCAGGTGTGGGTGAGTGGTATGAAGGGCCTGTGGAGGAAATATGATGAGTATGTAGGCAGCTGCTCCTCCCCAAAGGCGGCGATACAGCAGCAGTTCCTGCAACAGGCGGACGGCAGGCCGAGGCCCACCCTCACACCACACACAAACAGCAAACTTTATCATGTATCCAAACTTGTCGGCGGCACATTCGATAAAATTCGTCTCTTGTGCGCGGAGGGGTATATATACTATTGGGGGCGGGGCCGGCGCGAGGCGGGGCTTAAGAGACCGGCTTGGGGAGGGGGAACGCGGGTCGCTCAAGAAGGGGGTTACGTCTAACTGCGAACTCTGAACACATGGTTGTGTAACGTATTGATGCATTGACATTTATAATACTTAATTCAAACTGAGGAAATTGTGAACTCCATATAGTACTCGAATGCTTTATTTAGTGGAAAAAGTTGTGTTATGTGTTTGTGAGGCGAGATTAACTTGGGTACGTAACCAGTGTTAATGTTCCCGCCAGTACCAGTTGGAGGGGGGGTTGGTGGGGGAGCAAGTATGTAATGGGCGGGACTTAGTGGCGTGATGGGGACAACCACGTGATGACCACGTGGAAGGTGGCGCCGCCGTCCCTGTTACCAACCCTCCTCCTCTTCCATGCTCACATAATACACTTCTCTGCTAGCTTCCACCTAAACACGCCATATGTACCTTTTGAACTAAGAAGGAGTCTTATTTTCCCTCTCGCTTTACGTTTAGACAATAATATGCATGTTACATCAGAGAACTTTAATAATTGATACAAACATTTGCAGCATTAAACCAGATTAACCCGTAAATCTGGAATAGTTAACATTGACAATACTTCTGAAAGGGCAGAAGTACAGCGTTCTGTACAGAAGTAAAAGAGTTTATTGTGCAGCGTCATTTATTCTGTATGAAAATACCACAGGAGGATGAAACCAGCTAGATATGTTCATCTCGTCACTTCTGTTAGGGTGACAACGAGTAGAACATTATGGGCTACTTAGTGTCCAATAATGCTTTTGGTTCGAGAATGTCAGTTACGTGTCCAATGTTTAGAGTAGCTCACACACTAATGTTTGTATAGAATCTATTGCACCTTCTTATAAATATAAGTAACAAAGGCTACTGTATAGATAATTCCTTTGGTTGAGCAAACTCTGCTCTAGAGCCAGTAGCACTGCTCTAGAGCCAGTAGCACTGCTCTAGAGCCAATAGCACTGCTCTAGAGCCAGTAGCACTGCTCTAGAGCCAGTAGCACTGCTCTAGAGCCAGTAGCACTGCTCTAGAGCCAGTAGCACTGCTCTAGTACCAGTAGCACTGCTCTAGTACCAGTCGAGATCATTGGCAGGACTGATATTACTTTATCCGCCATAACAATAATGTAGGGTGTTGAAACTGACGATAATGTTGTGGGGTCGAGCATTCCTTTATCCGTGACGGTTGTAGAGTACAGTCAACATGCCAGCCTTGAAGAGTGCTCATGTAATTAGGTGTTTATGCAATCTAGTTCTCGTAACCCAGGTTTTTGTTGTGTTTTTATACTGGTTCACGAGTTTCTTATCTGAGAGTTACAACCGAGGCCAGCCGGCTGGGCTGGTGGGTTTGTCCTTCATGTGGCGGCAGAGGGCATCCTAGCACCACACAATGACTGCATGTGTAAATATAGAACTCTGTGTCCCCTGGGTCATGACAGGACCTTATGGCTGATAGTTTATATCTGATAAGATAAATGAGCCTCGTCGCGCTTTCCTTCTCTTGTGAGGAATTCTTCCAGCACGTATACCAAGTTTTCAAACCCCGATGTGTAAACACTTTTAAAATGGGCTCATGTTAATTAGTCAGTGTATGGACATGTGGGCCCCAGACCTGGCGCTGGAACCAACGGGTTATTGAAGGTTATTACTGTAGTTGCATTGTGAAGAGCTGTATAGTTAGTGGCACTAAGTGCCTACTTCTCTTACAGATGTTATTTGCTGTTGGGTTACCCCTGGAAAATCCATCACTATAGGTCTTATAAGGCATATAAGTTATAAGGCATATAACGGAGATAAGACAAACATTGTAGGTGTTTGGCATGACTGTCATGTACGGCCACGAACAGTGCCTGACCCCCACTGCTCCACGGCTCTTAACAGCTCAGAGTCTGCACTACACAGACACGGTATCAACTGATAAATAACTGATAACTCCACGGTTCGAATCTCCTAGAGCCCAGGTGAATGGTACGAACTGATAACTTTCGTGAGGTATCGCCACACACACACACACACACACACTGATATAAATATGTACTGCAATAGACTAGGGTGCGTCTGGCCGTGGAAAAGGGGCACCCAGGTGCCTGAACGCCAGACAATATGCCAACACTGCTCTTTAGTTTATTATGAACTCTGTGGCCGGATGTGGAAAGGTTATAATCATATTGGATTGAGGATTTTAACTTTAGCCATTCATATAGGTGGTGAGCCGTTTAGCACCGTTTTCATTTGCCTGGAGGATCATTACATAGTGAGCTGCCAGGCGGTAGAAAGACTGTACATTTCTGTCCCATTTGACACAGTTGAAGCAGGTATAGCGTAAAAGTGCCGCAGCTCACAGATGTTGTAGCAAAGCTAATCAGCAGATGCCTGCCACCGAGATAGTTGGACCTAACCGAGTGATGTCCCAAGTGGGGTCTACTAAAGGCTCAGGCGTGCTCACTCTGTACCCTCGTCGCCTCCCCCCCCATCCCCTCCCCCAGCCCCATGAAAAAAAAGAGGGTTGGCTTGTTCATACTTACATAATTAACATCAATTACCCCCCCCCCCCCCCCCCCCCCCACCTACCGCGCCATATATTCACCCCAACACGCATACAAATACGTAACAATAATTTTGTGAGTTCCAATACAAAGTATGGACCCTTAGTGACCATCACAAACCCTAACCAAATACTGGAGTGAGACGCAGCTGTTGCCAACACGGGCCACATTATATCAATATTTGGGGAATATGTAAACAAAAGGGACGCAGGCATTTATGACGCCGCAGTAGTGAGCCAAGTGGCTCACTACTGCGGCGGATCACGATCACCGGCCTTATGAAATATATAATGTTGTACCAAGTGTGTGTGTGTGTGTGTAATATATATATATATATATATATATATATATATATATATATATATATATATATATATATATATATATATATATATATATATATATATATCTAACTTGTATATACAATGAAAATGGTCTTTAAATTTTTAACGTTACATATGTTTTCGTATAGATTGGCATCTTGTGTGATATTTAGGATGTATTAAATATCCTGAGACATAGACGGAGCTTAATTATTCGTATCGCTTTGGTGCCTCCGTTTGATCATTACTTTCTTAATATTGCAAAGTATTACAGTACATGTGATGCTGTACCATCTAGGCCGTAATATGTAGGAGCCATACATCCTACAACACTCACATCCTACAGTTTACCCCTTCATGTTTGGTGAGCTGCAGGTCACATCACCTGCTTACCTGTCACTGAATACCGGGGCCTCTTGCCCCCACCTTAAACCTCGCCCCACAGCCATCCCCGCCCCGCCCCACACAAACCTCCACCCTAAACCTCACCCCACAACCATCCCCGCCCCGCCCCGCCCCACACAAACCTCCACCCTAAACCTCACCCCACAACCATCCCCGCCCCGCCCCACACAAACCTCCACCCCACAGTAGAAGCGAGTTTTTATCGATAATCACCATGCCAATTTAGTATGCAGTGTTGCAACTTTGCAAGATACTTATTGGTTGAAACCAGATCGAATACCGCCATTCATCAAGACGACTATTGGTTAAAATTCATAAGCCTTATTCTGTACACCAAGTGCTTCGCCATAATCTGAGAAGAAATAGATCAGTTAACATGAATTCCCAATTTTGTAAGCAAGATATGAACTTTATCTTTAAGCTTGACATTTGGCGAGCAAGTCCGGCGCGTCATCGCTCGCGCGGCGTTGACCGGAGTAATCCCATATTGTATCCACACTGTATAACCGCGGTCCCACCACCAGTTTTGGGAACGAATAGGCAACGTTCTGGGTATATCCTTCGAATAATTTCTGCCAATGAAGGTAATCAAACAAATCCGATTAGACTTCTCTGGTCAAGGATCAGAGCTGCTGCGGGTCAAGACGTGTGCCTATTGCACACGTCTCCCCAGCCGTGGGGCGACTGCCAAAAGAAAGTCCCCTGCATGGGGAGCACAGATGTGAGGTGAGCAACGTGTGTTGTCTCCAACAAAACTGTGGCTTCTTTGTCCACGATGGAGCTGTCTCGACTGGATTGTTTGGTGGCCTTCAGTAGGGTTGGTCTTGTGTGCTGGATCTACCAGTGTACCCCATTTTGTGTTGCATTCCATGTAGTGAGGGTCATGTATACCATCTGAGCTCCCCCCCCCCTCCAAGTTGTCTGGTAGAATGTCTTTGACCATGTCATCCGATGCCGTGGAGGAAGAAAGGAAGACTGGGACAGCAAATTGGATGGCAGTGTGGACACCAGGGCCACCGAGTCTGACTGGAAGTCTAGCTTGTTACCACTGACAGTTATTGACCGAAATGTCGACAACTTTTTAAAAAGCGTGGTTTTTAACAGGGTGTCACAAAATGAATTATGAATTATAATGATTTAAGTTTAGAAGTTAAGTGGGAACCTTGGAGATAAGTGGCAGAAGTGTGGGGGGGGGGGGGGGTCGAGTGGAACTAACACAGCTGACTGTTCACATAACGGGTAAATATTTATTTTACTGTTTAGTTAAGTAATGCTAAATTGTGGTAGGAATATGCTAAGTAATTTAGGCCAAGGGGTGATTGTTAACAATACTAGTGGTGGTATAGTGTGTGGTTTACAGGAGTCTACACTTGACGCAGGGATTACAATATGGTTTACAGGAGTCTACACTTGACGCAGGGATTACAATATGGTTTGCAGGAGTCTACACTTGACGCAGGGATTACAATATGGTTTACAGGAGTCTACACTTGACGCAGGGATTACAATATGGTTTGCAGGAGTCTACACTTGACGCAGGGATTACAATATGGTTTGCAGGAGTCTACACTTGACGCAGGGATTACAATATGGTTTGTATGAGTCTACACTTGACGCAGGGATTACAATATGGTTTACAGGAGTCTACACTTGACGCAGGGATTACAATATGGTTTGTATGAGTCTACACTTGACGCAGGGATTACAATATGGTTTACAGGAGTCTACACTTGACGCAGGGATTACAATATGGTTTGCAGGAGTCTACACTTGACGCAGGGATTACAATATGGTTTGTATGAGTCTACACTTGACGCAGGGATTACAATATGGTTTACAGGAGTCTACACTTGACGCAGGGATTACAATATGGTTTGTATGAGTCTACACTTGACGCAGGGATTACAATATGGTTTACAGGAGTCTACACTTGACGCAGGGATTACAATATGGTTTACAGGAGTCTACACTTGACGCAGGGATTACAATATGGTTTGTATGAGTCTACACTTGACGCAGGGATTACAATATGGTTTACAGGAGTCTACACTTGACGCAGGGATTACAATATGGTTTGTATGAGTCTACACTTGACGCAGGGATTACAATATGGTTTACAGGAGTCTACACTTGACGCAGGGATTACAATATGGTTTACAGGAGTCTACACTTGACGCAGGGATTACAATATGGTTTGCAGGAGTCTACACTTGACGCAGGGATTACAATATGGTTTGCAGGAGTCTACACTTGACGCAGGGATTACAATATGAGTGTCGCAGGGGACACTACATACTGTGGCTCTTGCACTCTTTCTCAGGTTTCCTTCTTTGTTTTAGAATATAATTCCCATTGTCTGGGGCAGGAAGCCTGTTAGGCTTAGCTAGTTCCTCCTAGGCTAACGCCAGACCTTCCTAAGATGCAACCCACAACAGTTGCCTAACTCTTGGATACCCATTTTACTGCTAGGTGAAGAGAGGCATCTTGTGAAAGGTACCCAATCGTCTCTGTCC